ATACAACACTTTTTTTTTAAGGGTATTAGTCCAAACTGTCCGAAACTTTGACACATCGCTCCTGATCATCTAAGAATTGTCCTGACATATTCAAAATTTTGATTTTTTTTTTTTAATTATTTAATTCAGCCCCGATTAGAACCAAAATGGCGTCGAGCTCTCATATTTCGATCAATATACAATTATCGAAGGCTCTGATATGAGAATCAAAAGGGTCAAGAGAATTTTACGACAATTTAGAACACTCTGGTAATCGATGAACTCGCATTTGAACGGGATAAAGGCAATAAATGTGTCTTATGCGCTGCTATGCTAAAACGATAGGAATACGAGGTCTCCAAGTGAAAATTTAGTTGACACGGAAATCACAAATGACGCAGGGGGTCCCTTTGCAGGCAATTAGGGCCTCATAAACCATGAATCCGGAGGATTTCTGGAATTTTACTTCCATTTCTTTATAATTATTATATGAGAACGACAAGTGGAGTATGCCATTTAGTACAATACCCAATATAATTCGACACAGCTGTCAATATAACAACAAACGTCGGCAACGTAGGCATTTAGAAAAATCTTCTTTATAGACGTCGATCAAGTTCCTCGACGTGTTTCACTTCACCTTAATTCCCCATGTATACCTCGAAAAAATTGTGAACGAACAGGAAGAGAACATCGTCTTTTGCAGACACTTCGGAGCGGCCATAAACTGCGGCTGAAGACAATCATTTATTTCCTTCGAGTAATCTCTTAATGTAATCTCAGGATTATTATTGCCATTTAATTTTCAATAAAATTATTAAGCTTGCACCTTGAATGTGTGCGATCAGGCTCCTGGATCGATTGAAACGCGTCCTACCTTGACGGAAATCGATAAAAAAAAAATTATCTTAATCGGACGCGATAAGGTTTAAATTACACGTTTACAAGGAGCGCTTATTAGTTCACAATAATTAAGATCATGATTGCCTGGTCGTTCTTTAAACACATCTGCTCGATTCTGCGAGTACGCGATCGCGTGCATCCACTCGCACTAGATGCGGAATAACCGGGGCCTTCTTATCACCCCGTGTACATACTAATATCCATTGTACGTCTTACCGCCACGCATTATTAATTATGACTACATAAAGGAAGGGTATACAAGTTCTGCGCCCGTCGCGCCACCCGAGGCGCATTTATCTCTTCTATGTAAAAATGTGCAAATGGCCAAGACGATAAAGCCGTGAATTGTTTTCCGGAGAAAACGGCAAGTGCACACATATATATGGGGTGTCTCTAAAGTTAGAAAGAAACATTGTTGCGTGCCTTGTATACAGCCATAGGTATCAAAGAATGTTTGACGAAATACCGCGATAAAAATAAAAATTTTCATGGACTGTTCCTAAATGTCCACGTAAAATAAATAAATACGCAACGCGAGCCGACAAAATCGCAACACCATGAAACAAAATTCCAGCAAATCGGAGCCTAACGTATACATATCGTTTAGGGGAACGTAAAGAGATTGTGATTCAATTTTGGGGTAATAAATGCTCGAAATTACCGGAACAGGGTCATTATCCGCTTTCATTATGCTAAACAATGTATGTGATTATCAGATGCGCGCAACTTTGGCTTTTAGATGTTGCAATGCTTTCGGCGAGCGGGGTATATTTCATCCTTGAGAAAATTAACAAAACGAAGACGAATCATCGCGTTATACGCATATAAAGAAAAAAAAAGGCAATACGCAATATACATATCTATCTATTGTGTAATTTTAGAATTTTCCTAGGCAAATTGCGCCTACTTATCGCGATTTTACGTAATCGAATACATATTTAACGACGACTTATCCTTGTATGCGCACGAAAGGTGATGTGTGCTGGAGGGTTTGGCTTTTTTTGTCGCCGTTAAGGTGAAGTGAAACCCCCTTCAAATCAGTCAAAGCTACAGCGGAAACGTGTAAAAAACCACCGGTTCTCGAGATTAATAATTGCCGCGTTGAAATGCGAGTCGACCTTTAATGCAACGTATCTTATACACCAGAAGTATATCGAGAAGAAATATATATTCTGGAGTTTTACTTCGATTTCTTTATAATTATTGTACGAAAACGACAGGTGGAGTATGCCATTTGGTACAATATCCAATATAATTCGACACAGCTGTCAATATAAATACGAACGTCGGCGACGTAGGCATTTAGAAAAATCTTCTTTACCGACGTCGATTAAGTTCCTCGACGTGTTTCACTTCACCTTAAGTGTGCACAAAGATGACAGCAGCGGTCCGAAGACGATCATGGATAAATGGGACGTTTAGGTACGAAGTTTACTATCTTCGACGACGCGGAGCCATGCGAGGCCCAAGGTCGGGGAACGAAGTCCCATCGGGTGCATCTCGCGTGCACTTGCGTACACGTGTTTTCGCAAAGAGCATACGTAATGCCTCCCTCCGCGTGTTCACGCGTAGCGCTCACGTACCTTAAGAAACAAGAGATACGTGAACGCGTTATCAATTGCATGGAAATTACTTTAGCAAGACGTGCAGTGTCCTCCCTCGTCGCGAGATCATTGAATTTTTCACAAAAACACCTTGGCCGTTTCTTTGAAGAAGGAGGAACAACTGCACTCGTCCCTTTATATGTAACATTGAAAGGGAACCCTCGACCGCATGAAAATGTGCGTCAGCGTTTAAAATGTTGTCACAGCCATATAAAAGGACAATTCACTTGGAGAAAAGTGGAGATCAACTCGGAGAAGGCAATTCCTCTTGATCACATTTTTTGAGGATCTCTATTAGGTAATCTTGTCTGCCCAAATAAAAAGAAAAAGAAGTCCCATTCCATGTATCATTTTAGATGTGAAGTATGTTAATCGTCATTTGTTGTGAGTAAATGCAAGGCGTATCAGTGTATGTAAATGTCGTTTCAGGGAGACGCGTTAAATATGCATTCGATAAAAAATTCCACATAAATATGTCTCCTATTTAATCTTGTTTCCCAGTTGAAGCCATTGTGTCGTATAAATTATTTTCCAATTTTTTTTTAAACCATTCGAAGCAACCTTATACTTGAACGCAAATCTCTTAAGGTGATACGAAAGGGATCTGATATTATACATATATGTGTGTATATATGTATATGTATATAACGTCAAAATATTCATAAAACTTTTCTGTAAACTGGGTCCACCAAATTATCTGAAACTTTAACACGTGATTATGGAGGCCCTAAGAAAGTACGCGATGTTCGTGAAATTTCATTTTTCGAAAAAAAGAAAAGTCTTTTTTGGTTCTTGCCCGAGATAAATACACATTTTTTTGTTCGAAAAATGAAATTTCACGAGCATCGCGTTCTTCTTTAGGGCCTCCATAATCTTGTGATGAAAATGATTCGGTGCCCCCAATCTGGAGAAAAGTTTTATAAATATTTTGAGTTTTTGGTATGCATATATGACCCTTTCATATCACCTTAACCCTTCAGCGGAAATTGGATCATGTTGACTCAATGTCGTCATAACAAAGAGGTAGATGAAAAATATAAATATTTCTCTTCAAGGAACAGGTTCAATATGTTTTCCCGTCCATTATTAATCGCAGCTATCTACGTGAGAGTATGGTAAAGTGCCTAATTATATATAAGAAGTGCAGATGTTATATCACCATAACATTGGGTCAATACGATCGAACTTCAAACTAAAGGTTCATTTAATCACGGATCAGGTTTATTCAAAACCCTAGAAGTTAATCAAACTCCTAGGAACCCCTTTAACGTGTCGGCCGAACAACGTTATCCGTGGCTGTACATTAAACAAATTAGATTTAAGACACTTTCGCAAATAAAGTCTTAGGAAGCAAACCGACCGGGCAACGCAATACGCAAGGAAGTCGATTAATCCAGAAATGAATCATTCCGAAATCATGCCACTCGACTAAAATGGGTCGAAGTTCCGTGTAGGGATCGCATGTGCGTGCATGCATTCGCACTTCTTCCAATAACTCAGTGAATCGCTTTTTTAATAAATTGCAACAGGAATTGCCATTTAATCATGCAGTCAGAAAGACAAAAAAAAAACTGGTCGGATTAAATGATCGGCAATTACGCGTGCCATACGTTACCGCGGGAAAGGCTATAACCGGGGAACAAGGTCGAAGATATCAAACGTTTATACCGCTCTGTATAATCGTCATTTGTCTACGCCAAGGTTTCCCAAACTATGTTCCGCGGAACACCAGTGTTCCACTGAACCTGAATAGGTGTTCCGTGACAATTTGGAAAGGTTTTATACCCTGTAACAAATTTAAAGATTTTCTACTTCATATTGAAAGGCGAGTGATGATCATTCTCCCCTGATGTTACCGATGATATCAGCCAAATGATTTCTGGGCGAGTTTGTCAGAAGAGTACCCCAATTTTTCAATAGAAGCTATTATTGTTTTACTTCCGTTTTCTACAACCCATTTATTTTCTACAATACATTTAAAGATCTACTTCATATTGAAAGGCGAGTGATGATCATTCTCCCCTGATGTTACCGATGATATCAGCCTTTAAATGATTTCTGGGCGAGTTTGTCAGAAGAGTACCTCAATTTTTCAATAGAAGCTATTATTGTTTTACTTCCGTTTTCTACAACCCATTTATGCGAAGCGGGATTTTCATATTATGCTGCAACGAAGTCAAAGTGCAGGAACGGGCTTTACGCCAGGCCAGATATTCGAATGCAACTTCCCAATATTGTGCCCGATATCAAGAAATGCAATTCAACGTCATCATCATCAAAAAATCATCAAAGTCAATAAGTGCTTTATTTCTTTATATTTTTATGTTTATATTATATTATAGTTTGACATTTAAAAATAATTACAAATTTAGTTAATTTTGTTTGTGCCTCAAACTGGACTCCAGGTTCACGCAGCCTCGATTTTTAAATAGACACATTCATTTGATTTCAAGGACCTCAATATTCTCAGGAGGAAACGATTAGAATTACGAAAGGGTGATAAAGTGGACGTACGTCGTAAGCAGGTGTATTCTCTTTGTCACGGACGACCGGCGAGCAGTTTCTGGGAGTTATCAGCGCCATGTTGGTGAGAAAATCTCAGCCGTGGATCTCGAGTAGGTCTGGTAATAGTTCACCGAGACTTCCGGATCGTTCACCAGGTGTTCCTCGTCCTCTTCATCCCTCCAGGCTATTACCGTCAATCGGCATCTATCTTCTGCTTGTCCGGAGGTAACAGGTGCCTTCCAGGACGAGACGGACGATCGGCTCTTCCTCGCGAAAAGTAATACCCCGACGTAAACACGCGCAATCCAGCTACCGCGAGCTAATCGTATTACGCAATTACCACGCTCCACGATAAACGTGGGCGTTCATCGAGGAGTCGTCTCGATACGGAGTGCGTCGATTACCTCTCAAAAATCCCAATCCACGTAAATCACTCGTTGGACTGTATCGTATTTATTTATTTAATTAGTTATTAGTTATCTCATTTAAAATGTTAGTTCCTCCTCGGGTCGCAGAAAACGCAACGTCTCCGCGCTAAAATCCGGTTCTTAGTCCATCACTGGAATCGGAGGATAATCATTAACGGCATCATCCATGTATATCATGTGGACGAAGGGTTCCTCGATCACCGAAATTCTCCCCCGGCTCGCGTCTTTCGAAAAAGTTCCGATTTTTGTGCCGGGTCCCAAGGCTTCTCTTTAAACGTTTTTGCGGTCTTTGAACTTGGGATCCTCCCGGCTGTCGAGCGCGGCCACGTGATCGATTCCTCGACGACGATGATCCTCAAGGTCGAGTCGAGTCGCGCGGCTTCTCTCTCAGCGGGCGGAGTAGCCTCGTCGTTCCCGTTTCGTTTTCTGGCCTTGAGAGTCGTTCCTTCCGAGCCACGGTTTTGCCCGTTAGATATCTTGCTCGATCAAACGTAAGATCATTCGACTCGATCAATCGACGAGACTTTCACGCTTCCGCCGCCACGTCGGAGTCCATGGCCTCCACCCCGTCCGAGTCACCTCGTCCGGTCCTCGGAAGGAGAGCGCGAAGAAAGTGGCGACGGACGTTCACCGGCTGCTCGCCGGAGATCGCTCCGGCTATTGACATTCCCTCGTGGCCCAGTGGCGCCGCCTGCGGGCTCGCCGACGACTTACCGGGGCAAATTTCCCCGATGTCCTTTCCCTTTCGCGCCAAGGGAAATTCGGCCGCTACTCGCGAGTGCCCCTGGAAGGAGATGCCTCGGAAGTTCCGGAGTGGGGGTCGACCGGAAGTCCGGCCGTTGCGGATCGCGAAGCCGACCTTTTGCGTTCCGGAAGCGGCGATCGGGCCGCCGCCCCCTTTCGGCTCGCTGGACGCGACTCACTGCCTTCTACGCCGGGCGCGACTCCTCATGGTCCCGCCGATTCCGCTCTTCCGGGTGGCGCCCGCGGCGACGCCTGGCGGCGAGTTTAGGAACCGCGCGGAAGACAAGTCGGTGGAGCGCCGAGTTCGACTCGGGGACGAACGGAGTCGAGATCGAACGGTTCCAAGCGCACGTTTTCCCGATCGATCCTTCCGGGATTGTCGCGAATCGCGGAGTTTTCGAGAACTTTCGAAAGTCGCGAGAAACGGAACCGTGAGGTGTACGCGACGGGTCGCGAACGTCAAGAGATACGAGGCGACCGGCGGTCGGCGGAGGACTGAGGTGCGCGCGCTCGCTGGCCCCAACCGTGGCCAGCGCATGCGCGGTCTAGGCCGCCTGGACTCCTAGAACTCGTGGGCCTTGCGACACCCTCTCCGCGCTCTGCACTCGAAATTCCACCACGTGTTCACCCGGCGGTGATATGGAGAGGGTCGGGAAGAACACCAAGGCGAAGGGTTACGACGCAAAACGGACGAGCCAAGACGGAGAAAACGCATTCGATTGATTCGAAACTCGATCCTTCGTAAACCGAACTCTTTTATATCGCGACGGTTCGTCCTTTTACGTCCCCTTGGTATTTCATAAATCCGATTAGTCCAAGTTTACCCTCAAGGGATGCGGCAGGGTCTCGGACGAGTTCGGGTCTTTTCTCACATCGATGGTCATTTTTGTAGAGATCGTTAATACTTCCGCCTCGCATTGAAAGTCAACGTCTTCCGGGTTAACTCCCTGACGATTCGGGTCCCCGCGACCTTGGTCACGTCTCGCCGCGGGAGTTCCAGTTCCGGGATCCGAGCGGGTCCACCTGCGGGGCTCGCGGAAGCGCGACAGGGTCGAGGAAACGCGGAACGAACCAGCAGGTGCGACGGATCGCGCCAGTCTGCGCCGGGCCGAGGGAGGAAGGGCGAGGAGAGGCGGGGAGGGGTAACCGTGGAGTGAGCCGCGCGTGCGCACTCGTCGTATGTCCGCGTCGTGCCGCGCCGCTCCTCGTGTCCGGATCTGTCGGAATGAAATCCTATGGCTGTGCTTTATGATCGATCGATGCACCGAATGCTGAATTATGGCGGAGAAATCGTTATGACTTTGGAAGGAAATGAAAATACGAAATCGAGGTACACCAGGGCAGTACGGATTGATTTTCTGGGAAGATGGAATGAAATTTTAAGAAAATTTATTGAATTTTAAGAAAATTATTTCGGTGCGTGGTCGTCAGGTGCGATGGAAGTGAAGCTTCCAAGTTGAAAAGAATCGTTAGATATTATTAGTTATTCTTAATTATTCTTTCAGACAATACCCTCACGCGTTTGGTACTGAGGGTGTTGGGCATGATCAATGTCATTTCTTTTTTTATTTGTATTCCTCTTATTTTACTTTAAATGTCAATAATTAGCTGAGGGAGTAACGTACTAAGGATAACGAATTTACGTAAATTAATAATCGATGTTAACGTACAATGTCGAATGTACATAATAATAGACCGTGGACGTAAAATGTTTATATGTATTTACGTAATAAATGTGCTCTTTATATCGACGTCGATGCTTATACTACGAGGAAAGAGGATATTCATCTGCCCGATCTGTGAATCGAATCGAGAGATGAATGTAAAATTCATGAATTTACGACTTTTTGCCCTTGGAATTTGGCGGACAGCTTTCTCGTTTCTTTTTCCTTCGGTAGAGAGGTAAAAAATAAAGGAAAATAGCGGGCAATCTCGGCTTCGTTTGCGACACCGAATCGTTTGAAGCACGAGGCACTCGACAGGATAATAGCAACTCTTCTTCCTCCCTTTATCCCTTAATTGTCAAAGGAAAAGAAGAATTCTTCAGGGGGGAGTTAAAAGTGAGAATCGAGTTACAGGGGAAAGAGAGAGGAGTCATTGCCCAGATTTGCATTGCATTTACGATTCGTTTCGTGGTCTCGAAAGTGTATGTAGATTTGCCTATTCAATGTATAACAAGGCATGTGGCGGGTGAGCAATTTTCCAACCTACGTAAAGAGCTTCGTAAAAGTTAAAGCAATCTTCGCCCTCGGTGCTAGAAAAAAACAAACTCCGAAATACGTTACATAGGCACTATTTTACCGCACTTTATATGAAAAAAAATGTATCACTCTTGTGGGAATTTTTTATTTGTCAATTTCAAACGCGTCAACGTTATCGGGTCGACTCTGAGGGATTATTTTTTTTCGTGCGTTGATGTCGCCTCCGATGTTTACAGTTCTGTACTCTGATTTGAAAATATGAACTTACCGCTGTTCAACAATCGTTGTTTTGATGCTTACTTTGCCTGCAATACCCAGGATCGAGTACTATGTCTAAATGTCGATTTAGCGATTTCTCCATCTTCAAGAAAGGGAAGAGTCGGTACATTAAAGATCACGAAGTCATAGCATCTAGTGGAAACATATTCATTTGATGTTATCCTATCACTCCTAGCTATCTTTCGCTGTCTCTGGAAGGTCTCTCTTTATCGAGAATCTCTCTTAATTATCACGGAAGGGATCGAGTATCGAACGAGATCCCACCGGCTTAGATCGCAAGCTGATCGCACGGTCCAGGGGTTGCAGCAAGTGGACCGAGTTAATCGAAAAGGTACAAAAGGATCGTCCACCTCTCGCAAGAGAGAAGAACTTGGAAATGCCTCTAATAACAGGATGCTTCGGTTCAATTCGAATCCTAATTTGATTAGGCAAATTTCTTCGCAAAACGAGACTTGTGAGCTCAATGATAGCTGCTAATTAATTCAAAACATTTTCTCATCAACCGTTCAAAAGTCAAGCAAAAGGAATTTCTCAAATTCCTGATTTCCTTCCTTTCGGCAAAAAATGAAGCCAAGGCAAGTCGAATAACCTTTCGGTATTTTTAATATTTTTCAATATATCTCCTGATCACAAATCTTAATTTTACAGTCAATGTCTTAGAAGATTTTCGATGGCGATGGATATAGTGAATCCTACCCTTCGGTTAAATAACGATCGAACTGTGCAAGATATGGACTTCACTGTTATATCTTTTTTATATAAACTTAGAGAGGGTCCCTTGGATTTTTCACCGAGCCCGGTGTTATATAAGTAGGAAATTCAATGATTACCAAAAATGTCGAAGTTTCGGTGTCGTTTTCTTCAATTTAAAAACTGGTTTAATAATCGGATCATGGAGTAATCGAGGAAGGCCCAGGTCTTCGACCGCAAATGTAACTATTGAAAAAAAAAAAAGGAAAAAAAAAAATGATAGGACCGATCCGCCTTATCGATTCGCTGCTCTGCGATTCTGCAAGGTGCAAGAGTCGTTTCCTCGAAGGGGACTGCCCCTCTCGCGAAGGAAATCGCAGCCACGGTACTTACGTGGAAATTGTAGCCGAGGTATACGCGTTTCCTTCCATTAGGCTCGACTTTTTCCGACCGAGATTTACTCGCGTGGCGGGGATGCTCGAGCCAGAAAAATAGGAAAACCTGAGGTACTCGTGGAAAAACGCAAGCCCAACCATTAATTCGCGCTCTAAGTGCTGGCGTACCATAGTCTTCAACGCCTCGAAGTATGAAACTTACCGACCAATGCGGGTAATTTACGAAGCAATAGGGAGGATGCTGAAGAAATCTTTGCGTCATTGATTCGAAACAAAACGGCATCCGGGACCAATTATCCAAAAAAAATAGTCATCACGCTACACGATTCACTACAGTGTTCCATTTTTAATCTAAGACGGTGTCGTTTATCTTAACCATTGGCAGAACAATTATCATCACGATGTCCCGGAATTGAATTAACTCTCTTATACGTTATCCCGTGTCCCCGTTATTCATGAAAAGCGGTAACTTTCCTCCCGATTACGACAAATGTCAATTTACTTTCGTCCAGTATGATCACGCAACTTCAGTTGCACTCGTGAGACACACGTGTCGATATAAGTAGAATCTACATTGTCTCCGAAGTAATTAGAGTCGAATTAGAAGGCTGGAATAGGTTATTACGAAGCCGCGATTAGTAATCACTCTGCCTTAAACATTGTCATTGTTTATCCACTAATTACCACTAGACTCGTCTCGATGGAGTCATCTCGAGTCGCATCTCCGATGTAACTTGGTTACGGCATGCAGATCGTGAACCATAAATGAAGGCCGCTAACTCGTTGACATAATTCTTCTCCACGTTACAGACCACAGCACGAAACCATAAAACTAGATAAATGCCAGAAAAGTTATTCTCCTGGGAGGTGAAAAGGCTACGGCCTGAAATTATCCTCAGAATTCGATCCCACATCGCGAGGCAATCGAAGTCGGGTTAGAACATCATTTTGACGCCATTACCTAGTTGGAGAGTGATAATTATCGGAAAGGTCAAGAATTATCTTCTTTTTTTCCAGGTGATCGATATCGGCGCGATATTCCGTGGTTAGTCGTAATGTCCTACAATCCCTATGTTCAATGGACGTTATGCACGCGGCCTTTAAAAATGCTTTTATGGCGTTAGATTGTGCGATTGGGTGAGTAATATCGTGAAGGGTTGAAAGTAGGGAGTGCGGGGGATAATTATGATTAAGGGTGTGGTCGACCCGCTGTTAAGTGATCACCGTGACCACTAATCGTCAAAGTAATATCGGCTAAAAGGTTCATCAACCTTCTTCAAACCATGCAACGACACCCAAGAGGTCGCTCGACCATAATGCAGCACGAAGCACGAGGGGCCTAAGTTTATCGAAGTTATTGCATTGTAAAATTTGGAAAATATTCGCGATTGATTTTTTATCAACTCACGCGCATCGTATAATTTTATCCGGAGTATTTAAGAGAACTTTTAAGTTTATCCGTGGGTTTTCAGATTACCAGAATAATAATTTTTGTAGCGGGAAATGCCTCTGCCTATGGGAATTCTTTATAACGTTGGATCTAAACCAAGATATTATTTTACGATGTATCATAATTCTAAATCATCCGTTATGTAAAGTATAATTTTCACCGAATTCACATCTTAGAATTTACATAGAAGGTTGCTATACGATGACACCAGTACATGTACTTAGACTTTATTAAATATGTTACCAACCCGAAATCCTTGAAAAGGAAATGAAATTAAAAAAGATTCTCTTTTAATTTCCCTCCAAACATCAGTTTTTTCTCCTAGGTCAGCGATTAATCGCACGTGTAAGGTGCGTTCTTTTGACTGTGCAAGGTACGCGATCAATGAGGGATTAAAAATAAATATCGAATCGTCATATACTGAATTTAATAATAGAATGTTTCTCTTCCCGTATCACGTTTAAATTTTAGTATCGCGGAAAGGAAATGAAATTAAAAGAGATTCTCTTTTAATTTCCCTCCAAACGATATCAGTTTTTCCCCTAGGTCAGCGATTAATCGCACGTGCAAAGTGCATTCTTTAGACTGTGCAAAGTGCGCGATCCATGAGGGAATAAAAATAAATATCGATTCGTCATATAGTGAATTTAATAATAGAATGTTTCTCTTTCCGTATCACGTTTTAATTTTAGTATCGCGGAAAGGAAATGAAATTAAAAGAGATTCTCTTTTAATTTCCCTCCAAACGATATCAGTTTTTCCCCTAGGTCAGCGATTAATCGCACGTGCAAGGTGCATTCTTTTGACTGTGCAAGGTACGCGATCCATGAGGGATTAAAAATAAAAGAAGCAAAGGAGGAGGGAAAAAACAACTTTGCCGACGAGAAGTACTCACTCGGATCGCCGGTCGCGCAACAATCGATGCTTCGTCCTACCGTTATATACAACAGGATATTGCATGGACCTCGGATGCGTGCGTGTACGTGTACGCGCTAGAATCGCAAGCGCGTCGTCCGCCATGCCAAACCCGTCGTCAGAGTCTCCCGATAAAAAGTAAAAGCCCCA